TATATATATGGGGATCAAGGTAAGCTTTTCGCTGTCCAGTTTAGGGGAACATTATTTTATGACATATATGGTTGTCATGTGCAGATAATCAAAATGACATTAAATGTTCTACTTCCGCGAGTCTATGTGTAAAAGCCCCGGTCAACACTAACCATTTTTCTTGGCTATCTGCCTTTCACATGAGGATATGTTGTTAGGACTTTCAGTGGAAACCTAAGTCCTACCTAATCGACTTCATGAGTACCCGTTGATTTTGGACCATTTGATTAAACCAGTCAGCTGAGATTAAAAGATACAGTTATCATGACGGAGCACATCGAATTCAAAACTACTGTGATTCATCTAGATCAAAGTGCATGTTTTTCAGACCAGTTTTCATTCAACACCTCGCTCTGTCTTTGTTTTCTGCTACCAGCTACTGTTGTTTGGTCTTGTCTCCTCTTTCGCTCTGATAGAAATACGCGGACCATGTTGAAGACTTCCCCGGAAGTGGGGTTCTTCGAGGGCAGGGAATTCATTTGGCCAAACTATGGAATCGGACCTACTTTCTGGACTATCACCTTGATGACATATCCAAGGACCAGTTGCGAGAAGCTAACCTACTGAGTGGGATGGTGAGCAACTGTTGTATGAGAAAAAGCTTCACATTTTAGTTGCTCAATTTTAACTCGTAGGTTCTCCCTCGAGATTTTAGGAATATTTCTAAAATATCTTCGGAAGCGACTGTCTTGTCCTCACGGAATGTTCCGGTAATTTGGACAAAAGGTTGCCAATGTTTTGTCAGCCGAGCTATTTGGTCTTATTCTGCCCGATGGTCCTTGCAGCACAGCGTAGCAACTTTACGGAGTAATGCACAAAGTGATGCTCAAATATAAGTGGACAATCTATCTTGAAACGTAAACAACGGCAAATCTTATGAGAACCCCGGGAACCCTCAAACATTCTGTTCTAAGCGGAGCTAGAGTCTATAGGAGGAGTCAGTGTGGGGTAAAATGGGAGATAGTGATACTCACAACAACTGGGTTGGGAATAAGTTGAAGAATGTTGTACTCCTTAGGTATGTTTGAGTGTACTATTGGTCAATAAAGGGTTTTTTGTTTTTTATCTATATAATACAACTCTGAGATGCATTCCAGAGCAGATAAGTTAGCGGAAACACAGTTTCTTTAAAACTATTGGTTAAATTTGTGACTTTGTCCCTTTGTGTGTCTTTTTGACACCAGCGAAACTACAGTGCTCTGGAAAAAGAGATACAAAAAAGAGACAAACGTTAAATCACTGGTAAGATTGGTCGAAAGAGCAATGTGTCCCAAATAACAGAAATACTGTTTTATTACAATGAATTAGTACTTTGTGTCTTACGCATACTTGACACATCGCTCCAGTGTCATTTCCAAAACCAGTGCAATTCGATCCAATATGCATAGATCTAAACTAGAGTAAGTACAACTTGGTGGTAAAGGGAGTGCGGCTGACCAAAAGTGGTCTTATCTGAGGAATGGTCCTTTCTGGGGGAGTTCACGTAGCTCAAAAGAAAACGGAAAAATTCGTTCATCCTAAGGGTTTTTTCGGAGACCAGCCGCTCCTACTAACCGAACATCACGTCAGTCGGACGGGTTACGTGCGGGATACAGACTAAACGAAGACGTGCCTTGATTGGTCGGAATGGCGGCCAACCTGGATCGAGAACCTACAGCTTCACGCCTGTCTCTCCTCACCCTGTCACCCCTGTCACGAAGATTCTGGCGTGACCTTGTGGAACATTTTGTGATCATAAGTATGGTTGTAATAATTTTCCCTTTGCCCCGTGAAGGGATGTCTGAAGCTACCGTATCTCTTGAAATACCATATTGGTTGGAGCAGGAAGCCGAGGACCGTCACAGAATTCCACCAGCGCTCAGTAAGTCACAATAGGGGTGGCCTATCAAGAGGGAAATGTCCATATGGGGACGGATGGATGTTTCCGTTATTTGGAAACACCATATATCGTTCGAGCAAACAGTTTGGTCTCTTTATTAACTATCCCTCATCTATCGAAAAGCCTTTCAGTCCTGGAAATCGCCTGTCATTCATAGAACGACTTCGCTAGACCTGTTCCGTTTTGCTGTTATTTTATTAGTGAAATATTAATCCATTCCACCATTGCACTACTTATTTTCGCTCGTATGATTTATTGGTACGCACCGTCTTAGTCACCAACGACTGTCGTGCATGTTTTATCAGGCACCAGCGAGGAAGTCTGCCCAGATAAATGAGTCCGGTTTAGCGCCTCAGGTTTTTGTGGACCCAAGTTCGTTGGAGGAGCTCTTGGAACTGCTGGCTGCAATTCATGGGTATTTAAACCTAATAAGTTCACAAGGTGAGCGGGGAGATAGGTTTCAAGCCGTTTGCCAGTCCTCTTGTCCAATTGTCAAAGCAGCATCCTGGCGAGAGCAAAGTGAACCAGATGACTCAATGGAAACCGAAGTTACAGCGTTCCTTGAAGGTATGCAGTCAAAACGCTCCGTGGATGTGGAACCGTCTGTGTTTATCTCATCCAGGCTTACGAGAAAACTGACCAGCTATTCACGGGACGTTTGGTCTGTACTATCCAACATTCACACACTAACCTCTCCACTCGAATTGGATATTACAAGTAACAAATTTAAATGGATGACACGGCTAACCACGGACTATAAATTCCTATTCCCGTTTGAAACTCGGTTGGAGTTCTGGCGAGTATCCAGCTTGGGAACAAGCAGGTAGGTCAATAACTAAGTGCGACAAACTTGCCGAATCCTTATTTATTCGATTTCAATCTGGAGAACTATTTCAGCCAGGCTGTGGGTGATTGAGATCACATTGTCTGATATCCAACTTTCAAAGCTGCCAGCTTGTGATCTGGTTTAGAATATACGTTAGTTCGCCAAAGCAACAAGATGTAAGAGGTTTCCAAACTAAATGAACTCACGAAATATACCTTTCTGCAGACCAAGTTGGTGTTGCGGGACACTCGCCTGGAACCCAGCTGAATCTCTCGTAGGCCGTCGAAGAATTTTCATTAGCTTTATGAGTAGTGTATTACGTCCAAAAGTGAACTATCATTGTGTTGGCGATTCCTTTGTATTGTACTGAGATGAATACCACATGTATTCTGACCCAAGTTAATTCGTTTTAGCATTACAATCGATTTAGTTGAACGTTAGAATGCGCATGACAATGTTTGATCTACGGTGACTTGTCCCTGAACTTAAAGGAAATCATCCGTGGTGACCGAAACCTCCAGCAAAACGTCTGTATATAACGCTGTCCTATTCTATCGATCTGTCACCACAGTGATTGTTTCACGCCACACCTTTTCGATCCCATTTGTGCCCAACCAGCTGCGGTTGTTCTCAAAATTGTTTGATTTGTCTTGGAACGAGGGCATTTCATTTTCGTCACTTGATGTTAATTTCGACTCTTCGGGATCCAGTTCAGGGTAAAAAGGAGAGACAAAAATGTCGGTTCGACACATTTGATGGTAAATCAAGAGTGACTGTTTCGTGAGTGGAGGGTTCATGTCGGTAATCATCTGGCCAATGTAAAATAACCTATGTACCTTTCGTAAGGATATTCTGCGCCACAGGAAATGTGCAGTGGGATTATTCTATCCATCAATTGAGCCGTTTTTTGTGAATACGACCAACGCTGGGAAGGGGCTGAAAATAAAGCTGTCTAGTCGATGCCTGACAGCAGTATCAAAATTCGAACGGAACTGAGTCTGTAGAAAAGAAACTAAAAGTGGCTTAGAATCCTTGATTACAAGGAACTAGGACACCGTAACAATCGATTAGTGACTATAAGATAACTAAGGTCATGAATCAACATGCCCCAAACTTAAGTCTTGGTCAACAGCGCCATTCCGGAGAAAATGACGAGGACAAGTTATCTGGGAGGGTTGGAGGAGACAGCAATGTAAGAACCCCGGTAGTTGCGCTTGAGAGTTCTACGCTCAACAGTGTCTGCGGATGAAATAAAAATAGTGCTGCATGAGAGTTCAAGGGTGCTGGACGTAAGTATAACTTAGCGTTAGGGAATAGAAGAAGAGATTATCGTGGACACGTGGGCTGGTTAGTGGGACGAATTTGCTTAGCTTCACGCATGTCACACGACTCCAAGTGGCCGAGTTTGAACTAAAATCGAGCATCGAAGTCCTGATGAACAGGTCCGTACGCTGTCTGAATCAGTGCTATGATAATCATCCTACTAAAAGTGTCTGCGGTGCACGAGAGGCTTGATGTTGGAAACTTTGGAGCAAACATACCTGAACCCACAATGAAAACGCCAAGCAATGAGCATCTTTTGGGCATCATGTGCTTCGGGTGGCAAGAACCTTTCTCATGATTTCTGGAGAAAGTTACGCCAAGATAAGCTGACTCTGTCCAGGCTGGAAACGAAACCGAGTTAAGGAACAAGGAGCATGTGTATATCTGTAAAGAGATAAGACAATAATCCTACTAAGTCAGGAGTCTCCAAACTCGCGTTCAGGGATGAGACGCCACATATGGGGAACAAGTTAAGAGGAGGTCAAATACACCAGAAGCCATTCGTGTTTTTCTTCCATGAGTCACAGGACCCATTGAGTGAAACCCACTAGGTCTCAAACGTAGTCATTGACACCTGTTTATGATCACAGGGTCAATGCCCTCAGACGACAAGCATATTAAGTTTTACGCTTCCTATTTGTCTTCTGCGAGCGTTAAGTCCCCGATCAGGTAAAGAGATAGACAATAATCCTACTAAGTCAGGAGTCTCCAAACTCGCGTTCAGGGATGAGACGCCACATATGGGGAACAAGTTAAGAGGAGGTCAAATACACCAGAAGCCATTCGTGTTTTTCTTCCATGAGTCACAGGACCCATTGAGTGAAACCCACTAGGTCTCAAACGTAGTCATTGACACCTGTTTATGATCACAGGGTCAATGCCCTCAGACGACAAGCATATTAAGTTTTACGCTTCCTATTTGTCTTCTGCGAGCGTTAAGTCCCCGATCAGTAACAGACGATACTAGCGTTTTGAGACATGTTGGCTGTGAGCATTACTTTCAAAATCAGAAGGATCGTTTCACGAATGAGGCTGCACAAAACACCTTACTTGCTGATTAAACAAGGAAATTCAGCTATTGCCAGGGATATACCCAAGTGATCTTGGGTAGAAGCATTGAACAAGTTTCTTCATTTCACACTATCAGCCAGTATGGAAACACAAATGCGTTGATGAGGATGTCGTAACGATTAGTGCTGGAGAAGTTTCAGTGAAAAACCTTGGCATCTGATAAATCTGCTGCTGTTTTGAGTAGCCTTGGTGTTTGTCCGTGAAGCAAGCTCCATATTTTGCCCCCCAAAAGAGCGGACTGTCTTAAAATTACAGGAAGGATAATGAGCTGACTGGTTTGTAAAAAGATTGACCTATTCAAATGGAGATTAGAATACAGCCTTCTCCCCTCATTCCCTCCCAACCCACCGTAAAGTGCAGTGCAATCAAATAGTCTACCAATCCCATAGCCACTGTTACGTGTCTCAACCATCGCCAAGAAAAATAAACCAAAATAATCACCTGCTCACCTCAAAAGATCTGATCCACGTTGCAGCATTCAATGTCTGTATTCTTTGCCAAATTGGGCAACAGATTTCCCTTGCTGAAACCTTACTTTCCATCTCTGTGTTGTGTCTCTGAAACACGCGTACAAGACCCAACTTCAGTCGTGCTTTTCAAGCAGCTTAGGACGATCTCAGATGTCCCGCATTTCACTCTTCGGGTATCTGGTGACCCTGACACAATGGCTCCTGGTATCTGCGATGTGGGAGGTGCATTCAGCCCCGAGACTAAAAGCTTTACTGAACTAAATCTCAGTAAACTGTCGCCCGTGCGCTGTGCGGTTGTCTGGCTCAATTAAGATTAACACAAGTCGGTGTGGCAAGCGGTGTTTGTCTTATCAGCATACGGCTCAACAGACTGCAGTTCTGAGACTGAGAACGACGAGCTTTAACAAGATCTGTCTTGACTGCTTCGGTCGGCAAGGAGGACGGATATAGTAATCCTGGTGGGTGATATGAATGCCCAAGTTGGACAACCAAGTCCGGAAGAGGCACACTTAGGTGGTCGATTTGGAGTCGATGCTGAACGTACTTATAATGGAGAGCGGCTTCTTCAAATCACTGTCTGTCTCTAGCCAGTATGAGCTTTCAACACAAATGCTCATACCGAGTTAATTGGAGACCACAAGACAGTCGTTGACTCAGTTGGACCATCAGTTATTAATGGAGCCGCGGTTAAGGATTGAGGTTCCTTCTGGGATACGCAAATTGAATCTGACCAAACCATCGTGCGGCCACGGTCAGCACTTCGCTAACCTCCAGCATTCCGCGTGTCAAATGAGAGCAGCTCCGTTTATCAACTTTGACAAGTTTCAGTAGATGAAGAGTATCGAGCTGATCTGGTTAGGAAGCTACTGGAAACGCACAGTCATGTGAATGACGAAGATTGCTTGGAGGTTGAGTGGAGGAGACCTTCTGAGCTTTCAGAACTGTTTGTCCAGCCCATCTGACTGAACCAAATGAACACTGGATACCTTCGAGATCAGCGAATCCCATTGCCGCCATGAAGGCTATACCAGTAATCAGCGGCCGTGATGACGCACCGGATAATCAGGAGCTTGAAGAATGACAGAGAACGCTGGTAGATTTTGAAAGCCCAGGAGCTGGAGAATCTTTCGCTGCAGGCAACATCCGTGCCGTGTTCCAAATGATTTGGTCAGCCGGTCAAGGTAAGGCAAGCGCCAGTGAGACAATACGCGAAAAAGACAGAACAGCAATTCATTCCCTCAAACACCGTCTTGAGCATTGGGTTCAGCACTTGAAAGAGTAGTTCAGCACACCAATTCAGCACAACCGCTGGAGGAACCAAGCGGGCCCGAATGGAACGCTGAGGCCAATCAACCATTAGCAACCGAAATTCAGCATGAGATTTAAATCCTGAAGTGTGACAAGGATGGTCTACACACTGCGCTTTTCAAAGAAGGCGGTGAGATTCTGAACAGTCTGAGATTTGGAAGCAAAACAGAATACCAGTCAAACGGAGCTCCTTGACGGTCAATTGACGTGGTAGATATATTCATTTACCTAGGCAGCTGTATAAGCTCCGGTAAACTGGCTGGAGATGAGATTATTTTTCGAAACGGAAAGGCCAAGGGAGCTTTTTCCACACTCCGACACCTATGGCACCGACGTGACGTGAGTTTGCCTGTTAATGACAGAGGTTATGGTGCGATGGTGCGGTCCATACTGCTTTATGTATCATAAACATGGCCCCTAACGCAGAGGACATACGGAAGATGTCAGTATTTGATCATCAGTCTCCGAAGGCTTTGTCAGGTCTGATTGGAACATCAGATCATCACTATTGAGGTATGCCAGATGGTCTCAGGAAGAAGGAACTTTTTCGCGATGGATGAACTACTCACGTTTCATGGACTACGCTTGTTAGGACATTTACTCCGTATGCCAGAAAACCCTCTGCCTCGCAGAACTTTTCCCCAGCCTTGTGCTGAGTGAAAGCGATCGAGAGGTGGACAGTGTATGACCTGGCAACTAAGTACGAAAACGCCAACCAGCAAACCGCGTAGGGTCGGCAATTGCCTCCCCCTGGATGAGGACGCCTGAACTCAAATCACCAGTGGTTAATGACACTGGTAGAAATTGCGCTATCGCGCAGTTAGCGGTGGTCATTCATCAAAGCTATCGCCTTCATTACGCAGCTACCCAGTTCCCGAACCAGCCAGATGTGCCATCGCTTCCAAGGCTTGGCTTTATGTCACACTCTCCCGATTTCCGGTAATCGAAGCTGTACCAGCTGGAACCAGTGTGCCTGTGGTTCATGGTTTGTAGCTGAAAATTGATTGATTGATTGATTCAATGGCCAGTTTGCATGAGTTTATGGCAGATACCCGTATGGAGCAGGCAAGCAGGCTGGAGTCGCTCAGGGGGCACATATCTGCCATCGCTAGATAAGCAGTGGATTTGCGCAGGACATTTATTTTAGTCCTATTCCGATAGTTGTGCTTGAACCAATGACCCGAAGCAATTTTAGTATGCATATAATCTGTATTGGTGGCACTAATAATGCGCTTTTAAAGGAAATTTCAAAATGCGCTAGGTGGCTTAGCGTATGGATCTCACAATCGTAGTTGGTGTCCAAGGAGTAACAAACAATAAACTCGAGTTTTATCTCAACAAAAAATGTCAGTTAGATGTTCACAGAACCAAAAAACGGTGCCGCCTTCTGTACTTGTGTGATAAGCACCAGTTGGTTTTTACAAGCACAAGCTCTGAGCACAGACGTGCTTATCGTGTTACCTGGATTCTTATCAGCGGTGACCAGTCAACGGTTCCGACACACCCAAAAGAATTAGCTATCTCCAGTAATCGTATTATGCCACACCTATCGGACTAAATTCATGTTCTGGGTCATGTTGTAGTTTGCTTCAATGCAAGTAGAGAAGAATGCTGCTAGCAAAAACTCGTCGAGCAGCAGTTGATGAGCTAACCCGTCTACTGAACGAAGACTGATTCCCACGTAAAAATGCTACAAATTCGGTATTCACCATTGTTCATCCTTTAAGAAAGCGACGAACCTACGTACCTTGGAGCTCACAGTCATCCGCATCTCTGACTGAGGTGAGGAAGACTGTTCTATCAGCTGAAAAAATCTAGGGTCTAGAGAAGGACACTAAGCCCGAAACCTGGCTGGGAGAATTTGTGACCAGACAAGGCCCAGGATATCAAACTTAAGGAAGGGAAAAAGAAAAGGAAGTCAAAACAGAAGTCAAACTCCTTAGCAAAAACAAGGTACTTGTTCCTAACTATCATTTCTTGGGCTTAGGGGTGAAAGTTTCGCTCAGAGTTTGCTAAAATGCGTGAGGAAAATTTAGATAGTGAAAGAAAGCGGAAGATGTACGGTCATGTCTGTCTTTATAAATGCCATTAAATATGAATATGGAAGTTATCGTTTGTCGGCCGCGACAGCCTACGTAAATTATGAAGAGCATGACATTGAGGCATCATAAACCCACCGTATCAACGGAGTTGCAAAGTCACAATTCTCCCTAATTTTCCTTAGTGTTTTTACTTTATTTCTTGGTCTCGCGATCGGCCATTTTTTGGTTTATTTTGTCTTTTACTGCGGGGGATCTATGGTTATCAAACTAAACGGAGTAGTTCATGGTATCGGCATGAGTCGGCATAATATGCCGGTGCTCCATAGAGATGGTTAGACAGACCCTAATTTTTGCCCAAATGACACATTCCTACCACCTAAAGCAAATAAAAACGCCGACAGCATAATAAAGAGCCCAGAAGGGTCATCAGCAGAGGAACCACATATGGGTTGCAAAGCAGTTGGAGCAGTTGGGACGAACAGTGAGTGAGGAACGCCACCCGATGGCGTAAATCGATATGAATTAAAAACGACCGTGTTTCCTAACCAGCCTGCCCGAAGACAAAGGACGGTAATGATTATTTAAAGTTCTTGGCAAAGTATTCATGGTGGGTGCTCCTGAGGAAGCAGGTATGGTTCAAATGAAATCTGATTGACTACATTAATCAATAAGCATATTCGGGTGTGTAATTTGGGAACAACACATGCCAGGCAAAGTTGTTGTGGTGAGGAGAATTTTTGCATGCACTGAATCTGGTTCTTTTTAAGCTGATTCGAGAGGATGGATTTGTACCTTTGGTCCTGACATTTTTGAGATTCGGTTTGCTTGCATCAAGACAAGAAGGCTTGAGATCATTAAAAAGATTCGGTCGTAGGGGTTATAGCAGCCATCGTAAATCTGCTAGTTAATGAAAGACAAGAGAGAGTACCGGGAAACCGAATTCTCAGTCTTCGTGTTCATACAAAGTATTCAAGACAAACTAGCGTCTGTGGAAAGTGTGGCACGGCAGTTCGCTCTATCGTATGTTCGTAGATAGTTCACCAGAGAGGTTGGAAAACTTTGAACTCGACGCTAAGCTCTGGGTATCCCATTCCACTAAGGTTATAAAGTATAGAAAAAGCACAAGCAGCCGATATCTATATTTTTATCCTTTTCAGGAGTACTGCTTTCACCTGTGAGTTTTGGATAACTAGCTGAGGTCTGCCAAGAGAGTGACAGTGAGTATGCACTGTAGCAAGTGGTGGTAGTTGTACACTTCTAGGGTACTTACAATATGACCACGCTTTATTCAATTGCCTAACGACAGCAGGCTTTTCTAGCCATGCGTAGATGCTGGATTTCTGGCTAGGAAGTTTGTCCGGCTATTTTACTTGCAAACTACGGAGTAGGCGAGGTCAAATCAAGATGTTCATTTGCCTGCTTATCAGAAAATTTGGTTGGAAGTGTCTTTCCACATTTTTATGTATGCAGATAGCTATGAAGGGACAGACAGCCATGTGGTAATCGAAGCGGGATCGCCCAGGTAATGATTCACGATCTCATCCATTCGTGTTAGGGATTTCTTTATGAGTATAGTCCTCATAGGTAGCTTCTGATATGCCGGATTCATCCAGCAACATGAATGAAAGATATCACGGTACATTTTAGCCAATCGAAGCTGCTCAAAAGCAGTCTCTAAAATAGATAATCGCAGTTATCGTAAGCTCTCTCGCAAACTTTTGCACAATCTTTGCCATTTGCATGAGCGGTTTACTTGGATTGTATTTTCCGATCAGTCCCAGTTTCCAAATTGAGGCGTTAATTTGTCCAGTTAGGGGTTACTTTGGTTAAAATATCACAATTTATGGCACACAGTAAAATACCTTTCCCACATTTCAGGGCAATTGCATGGTTGCAAAAACGCACTGGCAATTCCAGGGTTTCGAACAATCACCTGCTGGGTGTGGGAGCGGCTTCACTTTCACAACGGGTCGATGCAACGACACACCATGCAAGAGACAGGAGCGGCAAAATCCCGACGCCTGATGCCAATTTTTCATGGACACCATCCGTTGTGATCGTTCCGAACCCGGGTAAGTCAAAATGTTCGTAAGCTATTTCTTCGGAGCCCAGGTCAACGTCTGAACCGGTTTCAACGAGAGAGAACCCTGACCACACCTTACTTCCTCTGTACGAAAGCTTGAGAAAACCAGAACACTTTTTTTTCGTTCCAGACAACTTAGAAAGGCAAAGTATTTATATCGCCGACAGGTAGCTTGTTAATCGTCAGGGCTATGAACGAACTTGAGAAAACCAGAACACTTTTTTTCGTTCCAGACAAATTAGAAAGGCAAAGCATTTATATCGCCGGTAGATAGCTTGTTAATCGTCAGGGCTATGAACGATATGGTCAGCTTTCTATGCACAGTCTATATTCCTACACAACGGACTGATTGTTTCTTCCTTGGGGTTGAAGTGCGTCATAAGACCGCACAAATGATTCTGTACTAGACCATTAAGCCTGATATGTTAGAAAGAGGGTCACAGTGTCTCTTGCTTGGAAAAGTACTTTAAGGTGTTGGCGCTAAACACGAAAGACTCCCTTTGAAAGACTATGAGCTTTGCAATTTTGCTGCAAACATTTGCTCAACGGCTGAGGTGAGATCAACTCTACATGGTGGTGTAGCGGCCCATGGTCGTTCACTAGTGTGTCGATGTTTAGGTTTACGGGTAAAAATTAGGATGTTGATTACGCAACCTGAACTGTCAAAGTCTCCTCTTACACAAACCAATATGCGAAATATTTTCAGGAGACAGAACACGGTGTGGGTTGTATGGGAAACCAGGAACATGAGTGAATTGTGGTTTGGAGTGGTATTATCAGTATTATTGAAATCAAGTTTAACACGTGTGTACAAATTATCTGGAATGATGAACTGCTGCACGCATCTCTTCAAAAAAGGAATAGCAACTTTTCGGCAATCTACACGGACCTTTAATTTACCCCTCCTCTTCGTCATTATTGTCACGACCTTGCGAAAATAATGCGAAAAACCTGCGTTTCCAAACGCTTGGCTGCTGTGCATAGGAACTGAAAAGGGCGACACCATTAAGGTTGATCGATACGTAGGTCAGTGCTTTGAGAAACTGATGCCAAATTACTGACCAGAAGGGCCGTCTGAATGGTCATTAGACGAATTTTAAAGGAAATTTCGGACTACGAAATTCCATGCGGCAGTCGTACACCACATTTTGATTATGGATAGTTGCTGGATGACATGGCGCCATACTCTGACCAGACAAACATGGCTGGCTAGAAGCAGCCTGAGATAAATGAAAAGCTCACTGCACAAGACTCTCAGTGAGAGTACGTTTAGCTTTCTTTCGATAGATTGACTTTGCTTTGTAAGGGTAAAGCTGCCACATGACCTCCGCTTGCCACTTACAAAACGTTAGTGGTGTTTTGTGAAAGAAAGGATAATCCTAATTCAGGCGCTACTGTCCGTCATGTCACCATTCTAGGATTTGCTAAACACCACGACTAACCACGGGTTTGGTCAGCCGACGGTACCTAGAAGGCGGATTCTAATATTAACCCGGATTCTTGAATTGCGCACTCTTGATGGTTCCTGGTGAAACGAATAGGAGTTTTTCCAGGGGTTCTTTGCAGTCTACGACTTTTCTGGAACGACAACGACCTCTTTTTTTCCTCACTGTCATTGTGTGTCCCTCAGCTTGCTTAGAATATTATCCTCGTTATAATTAACATAATGATGTATACAACTTCACTGCATGGAAATTTTTTTTACTTTACAATGAAATGCGCAGTACAGTGAATGGAAATCTGTACACCGTTTTTTGATTTGATTGATTTAATTCTGTGAAATTATCCACTGTACTGAAACACCAAAATATACTCAGTGTAGAAACCAAACGACGTAAACATCTTGGAATCTGGGTTACGATGTGATAATCCTGGTCAGATCAGATGCCTTCTATGCACAAAAGATCCGCTTCGCATACGGTTTAGTGGGGAAAACCCGCTTCTCGATTGCTTTATAATGCCAGTGTGCCTCGAAAGGAAACCGAATGTCCAAGCGTGATGATCAAAGGATAAGTCGGGACGTCAGCCAATGATCTCACCATGCCAGTTTAGTCTTCCGTATTCACTACCAATCTAGCCTAGCCCAAAAACGCAAACACGAAATACGAAACACAATCAAATATATGAAGTGAGAGTGAAAGTTCGTAGACATAAAATGTCTACTTTTTATCCCCTGTATCTTCCTGGTCTATATGTTTATTTGAGATCCTACTTCGAGGTGCCAACTAAATGCGTCTAAATAATCCACCCAAATCAATATGTGCCAACTACGAATGTGGGTTTATCTCTATATCCCTAGATTTAATCTTCCTATTTAGCTTCTGGCATTTTGATACCATCATTGTTTTACCTTCGATTACAGTGACTAGTCAGAATTCACAGATAGAAAATGATCCACATCTTAACCAGCGGTTTTCTGAGCCCACAAACAGCGTTGGTATTCCACCACCGCCACCCAATCTCTTTGGAATCCCATCAGGTGGAGTGGCCAGCAATTTAATGTTTGGACTGAGCAGTCATCCGCCACTCGCTGGCCTGGGACGATTGCAAAGGCATATGGCTCGCGTACCTCGTCCACAGCCGGGCACAACACTTTCTGCCCCCAGTCACGATTCAGCTGATGACAACAATATGGAGCAAATCTTGATCCGTGGAACTGCCTACTCATTTTTCTCGGGAGGCAATAACTTTTGGGCTGCTGCGGTCCGGTTGCTTCTTGCACATGCGGACATGCGACAGGAACTGGAGGTCGAGTTCGAAGGTGAAGAGGGTACGGGACTGGGCCCCACGATGGAGTTTTATGCGTTGTTATCAGCCGAATTAAGGTGTGCGATTTTTATGAATCCGCTCGGTTCATGTGATTCCTGTAATTCCGTAAACTATCATAATTTCTTCGTTTGTTTAGGCGTCATTCCCATGGCCTATGGGTGAGTGAGGATCGAAATGAAGAGCCCATTATGATCGATTATGATCAGAAACTTGAAGAAGCGAAATTATCATTCGATTCGAAAATCGATTTGGTCGAACACTCCGAGGATTGGAATGTGGATTTCTGCCAGAAGGAAAGCGTGGAAGAAACACATGCTGCGACACGTTCTATTAAGGAGGATGGTGATTTCTACGTAAATCCAGCAATGGGGCTATTCCCGGCCCCCTGGCCTGAAGATCAACTTCCTCCTGGTGTAGAGTTACGCTTTTATGTGCTTGGAATAGCCGTTGCAAAATGCCTCCTAGTGAGTTGCCGATTAATCTAGCAAATGTTACTTGCAACTCAAACGTTCATTCAACAACGGAATATTGGAGCACAGCGTTACCCTATTAGTTGTAGATTTGGATGTGCGCACCGACCACACGTGAATAGTTCACTTGTTTCTCCCTACTCTCATGTATCCTGGAGAACCTTATGATAACTTTCAACCTGTTAGCTCTAAGGGTGACAGGGTAATACTGAAGGAGTTTCTTACCTGTTCAGGAAGTGATACCCTAAATGATACATTTCGCCCCTCAGTAAGGCATATCGTGCAGGTATAAGGGAATCAGCGCTGACTATTCACAAACGATCAGATCTTCTATCCAGGCACACGGCCGGCCAGAACCACTCAACATTCGTGCACCGAAGGTACCAGCTGAGTGACAATTGCTTACAGACGTAGAATCATTCGGTCCACAGAGTACAGTTGGTAGCCAGTCTTAAGCACCTGATCCTTGTGTGAAGTTGATAAAAATACTTGGTGGTGTAGAGAATCTCGGGAGTTATCGCTTCCTCTCCAACGAATTCCTATGCCCATTGACATTATACGGTTGGATATGGGGACACAGCCGTAGATGGGATAACCTTGCTAATGTTCGGATGTAAGTTCCTTTGGAATCAGGTTGGTTAGCCAGCTCAGCTGAGGCCCTCGAATTGTTTGGTAGTAGTGAGGAACAGGAGTATAGGTTAGGGCTTGATCTTACTTTCTTTTGTTATTTTTTTCACCGAAGTCTTAATTATGGTCTCTTCGAACAGGATCAACGACAGATGGATCTTCCATTTTCCAATGCCTTTCTTACTCTGTTGTGCGAATTTAACGCACGTCTGACGCCTGTGCCGAAGACTGATCAAGCAAGGAAAGAGTGGCCTGGAGACGTTCTTGATTTGAATGACTTTGTTGACATCTATCCAGAGCGAGGAAAGTTTCTTAAGACGCTGATATCATATATACAAGAACGAAGATTACTCAGCAACCAATTGACACCGGAGGAG